CGTTTGCCCGACCCGAACGGAGCATATATATATATATATATCTGAGGCATGTTTGTCTCTACGTTCTCCATAAATTTACAGCTAATGGCATCCAGCTTTTTAATTATTTTCAATTACAAAAAACAAAATCTTTGTTTTGATGAAAACAAACCCTGTGACGCCAAATTAATTCACATATTTGACAAATAAATATGATATTATAAAAATGAGATATGCGAATGTAAACCGTTAATGATTATATGAATAGTTCTATATTGTAAATAAACTTGACTGTAGAACAAAGAAAGGAAGTTGTGAATTCATTTGTATATTCTATATGACTGAAAAATATTTCAACTAATTATAACACATGAGACCATTTACTCTGTTATAAACACATTCATACACACACAATGTTTTTTTTTTATAATTCCAAAAACTAATGTACCATATTTTTCACACGGTTAATTCTTCATCACTCATGTCATTTTTTTTTTACAAATAACGCTACAATACATTAAATGATATTTTAAATAATGAGGGGGTACTGCTACTAGCCTCCTATACTACCAAACTATATTACATATAGTCACGCATTTCAATATATACAATATGTGAATCTCACTATTGTCTTGAAATTTTCAGGTCCCTCTCGTACCAAATCAATATGATCTTACTGTAGTTTTCACTCAACCAACTTTACTATCGATGCGTGTTTGAGGATTTATTATTTCTCTTTGACCGGATGCATATTGTTAATTTTTTGTTCCATGAAGAAAAAAAATATTCATATAATCAAATTGGATATATATGTATACTGGACAATTATTTATCTTTTGTGGAAAATTTTGTATAATTATATATTATATGTTATATTCCACATGGGAATTTGTATTCTGATTTGACTTTTCGATCCTTTCATGTTGACTGAAACAATTTGACCAACGGCTATATTTTGGTAGCGTTATCCTAGCGCTCGCTCGTTATGATGCATTAATACATAGAATTCATGCATAGACCTACAACTTTTAATTAAATTCAAGAATCAGCTGTAATTAAGGCATTTCGAATATCGTATAGATTGGAAAAAATATATAAACAGAGTAAGCAGTTTATAATATGAGAGCAAATTATGACCGACATAAAATACTTTAAATCTGTTGATCATAAAATTAACCTAATGTTGACTATATTTATTTATGTACCTAGAAAGTATGATATACCATTCGGCCATACATTATGCTTTTAAGTTTTCTTTGCTCAATTTTTTAAAATTTGTTAATTTTTTATGGAGTTTATTAAAATACTACAAGATGCAACTTATCACGAGGTACTTACTTTTTTTTAATATTTAATAAAATAATAATATTACAATAGCAAGGGGAGGGAAAGTCCATTAAAAAGCCCAATGGGTCTTCGGTCTCTTTCTTTTTCAAGTTTCGTGGATTCGAACCGCACGTTCCCAAAAAAAATCAGGGTTTTCTCTATGGTGGAAATCCACAATACTTGCAAAAGAAAGAGATAGAAGACTCCATGGGACAATGGCCACGTTTGTCTCATATTATATTTTGTTTATTAAACAAACTATGCGCGTGCACCTCTTCACTCAATAAAAGGGTATCAAATCCGGGCCATCATATTGTCTTTTGACGTCTCAAGAAAATGCCACGTTTAATTAGTTATTTTGATTATTATAACATTTATTTCGGTACTTTTTAGTAAATACCCATCGTACAAACAACGTCATTTATAAGAATGATGTTTTTTTTTTCCCTTAAAAATATGAATGATATTTACATGGTTTTATTATAGGGATTGAAACTAAAAAGATCGATATTTTAGTAGAGAAACATTGTAAATACGTTCACATCAATTATTAGAAAGATTCACTTCAAGAGATAAAGGTTCTTCATCGACGTCTTCTCACCAAGCACGTTACCCGAAGCATCAACATTTATGTCCATTACTTCTGACAAATATTTCTTTACATACAAAAAAAAACATTTTTTTTTCAGATTCTGCTTTGTTTCGGACACTATTCCTGTTTAGTTGACATATCTTACAAACTTGGTTTGGTAATTGCGATTTTGTAATAATAAGTTTATTTTCGGTGGGAAAAAAATTAATTGAAAAGGAATAAATATGATAAACACACACGAGCACGTATATATTATTAACATGAGATCATATCACATACATATATTACATCAAGTTATTAATAACAGGCGAGTGATTATGATTCATCGCATTAGTTCCACACACGTTTTTGGGTTTGGCTCACACTATTTATTTATATATGTACGTGATCGGTGTTTTTGCCACGTTTTTTTTTTCATAAAACACCCATGCAAAGCCATGCATAATTATGCTATTATACGCCTGGGGCGCACTTTAGCAGCGAGAGGACGAGCCATCTCGCACGAGAGCCTCAGAACCTCCGACAAGTCCATGGGGTTCGCCACGTCACTCGGCAGCCACTCAAATTCATGCAAAAGCGTCGCGACCCAAAACGACACCGTAGTAAACCCAAGATTCTTCCCGGGACAGACCCGTTTGCCCGACCCGAACGGAGCCAGCCTCAGATCCGTCCCGAAAACCGAGAACTCGGCTTCCCCGTCCTTAGAGATGAACCTCTCGGGCTTGAACTCGAGCGGGTCCTCCCACACGTGCGGGTCACGTGCTATGGACCACATGTTGACCATCGCTGTGGTTCCCGCCGGCACGTGATATCCGTCCACGTTGGTATCGGTGACGGAAAGGCGGGCCCACGAGAGTAGTGGGCCCGGAGGGTGAAGCCTGAGCACTTCTTTGATCGTGGCCGTTAGATACGTGAGAGATGGAACGTCGGACTCATCCACGGCTCTTGTTTTCCCGACGACTCGATCAAGCTCACCGTGGACCGTTGATTGGACCTCTCCATGCATAACAATACGCGCAAGCACCCACTCGATCAGAACCGCCACCGTGTCCGTCCCCCTGAATATCATTTCCTTTACAAAACCAACGTTGGTGGCAAAGTTATCATCCATAACATGAAAATTGCATTATTGAAGAATCTCAATGCGTAAAGGTAACATTTTTTTCGTACCATTAAGGTTATGTTATGTTATCATAATCTACCCGTTTAAGAGAAAGAAATTTTAAAAATACGTACCCAAAGAACGGCTATCATATCGGGTTCACATAACTTCTCAGGACCTTGAAGAGACAACAATACGTCAAGAAAGCTACATGCGGCCTCGGACGCCTGAGCACGGCGTTCATGGATGATCTGGGTGACGAACTGGTTAACTCTTGGTACAAGTTGGGAGCACCTTAACCGGATCTTTTGGAAGTCTAAACCGGCTAACCAAGGAAGATGGTCGGTCCAATTCAGCATACCAAGCAGATCGTACCCCTCCTCCACCAAACCCTTCAGCTCTTCCACTTCTACGCTCTTACCCTCCAAACCATATTGTCTCCCGAATACCGAACCCATCATGTTGCTCAACGACGCCGTTTTGAGCACTTCACGTACCGCCAACGCGGTTTCAGCATTTTGTGCGTATGCGTTCACCATCTGCGATGCAATCGCACGTCTCTGCTCCTCAGCGCGTTTGATCTGCTTCGGGTTGAAGAGATGGTTCGAACCAATTCGACGAAGGGTACGCCAGTAATTTCCGTTGGGAGCGAAACCCATGGCCCGATTAAACATCAAACCGTAGGCCGTCTCATCAACCGGCCGGTCCGCGAAAACCGGGCTGTTCAGAATTTCCTTAGCCACGTCGGGGTGACACGTCACAACCACCCTGGTGTCTCCGAGGCTGAACGCCATGAGCCGCTTGGCATTTTTCTTCTCGGCTGCCGCCGCGATGCGGTGGTGCGCCACATGGCTTGACCGGAGGTTCATGCTACCGGTTAGAGGAAACCCTCTCGGACCGGGAATGAATTTCTTGGTTTTACCGGCACCGCACAAGATACGGGAGGAAAACCGGCTACCGAAAAAGTATTTTCCCCAAGCTGGACCGCCCGGGTGAGACCAGAAGAATACGGTTAAGGTTAACCAAGCCAGGACAGTCACAATAACCAAGTACGCAATGTTTTCTTGGAAATAGACATTGCATTTCGATGCAAGAGCAAACACCCACAAGTTTTCGATTTCGGTTTTGATGTTTGACGAAATCATATTCTAAAGTTTTTTTTTTTTTTTGTGGTTTGGTATGTGAATGAATCGGGTCTTGTAGAGTTGGAGCTTATATAGAGGCGAGGACATTGCGAATTGAGCCAATCAGGACTCGCGAATAATGTGATAATAACGTTGGTGGGAAGTGGAAGAAAAAAATTCTGGACGAGGGGTATATGCCATGCATGGTCATATATATGTCACCATATGTTTGGTAACATCCAATTAATAATATTCCTCGCAACGGTTTTAAATTAACGGGGCATTTTATCCGGTATAACATCGAGATGTACGTACATCTGTCCTTTTTGTTTCCAATAAAAAAAACTATCCATGCGTTACTTATATATAGTTTTGTTATTTACCAATAAATGCTTCTAAAATAAGGGAAGTTAACATATAATCCAAACGAAACGGCGTCACGAGTTCATGTGAATATTGGGTGATTTTTCTCTTTGGTTTCAAGATTTGGTCAAATAGCAAACAAAATATTGCTCGCGGTTAATGTAATAAGAAGCTTGTCGAGTTTAGCTCCATAACTATGTCGTCCTTTCCACTTGCTATAACAATTTGCGAGCATATATATATATATATATTCTCCCATCTCTCATCAATATCCGGTCATAGTTTTACGATATGATGAGAAAATTATGCGATTGGACTACATCTTACATATATAATATAATATATATTATATATATATATATATGTATATAACAGAAATAATAACGTGTGATAAAGTGAGTATATATGAATCTTTAATAAAGTAAATTGCATATCTAAATTAGTGCTTAAAAAAGCATATGGAAGACCAAGTCATCAACAACAGAAACCCCACGCTACCGAAACTTTTTTCAAAGATGCTGCGGGGTCCTTTTTTTTTTTGGGTCGTCTTGCAACTTGACTTTTCCGCCAACCAAATTGCTCCCCTCTTGTTTGTTTTTTTGTTCATTTTTAATGTTTCTAAAAATAGGGACCAAACGGTACACTAGACTTTCGATTTTGGATATATAATAAACACTCGTTTATATCATTATATGGTACGTATATATATATATATTCAAGAAAATCTTACACTGATTAAAAGTTGTATCGAACGGTATTAACTTAAATTCCAATCGGGTTTTGGTTTGGTCGCTTTAATTCGCTAAGAATCTTATACCACTAGATAATTGGATGTTTCATTGTTCATTTTTTACAAGATTTTCGGAATAATTTATTGGATTTTTATTTCGTAAGATATGAAAAAGTGTGTGTGTATATATACACACATCATGTATAGGTTTATAGATAAGATCACAAATGACGGAAGTATAAAAATATCCAATATTTCTCCCCTCCATATATTTTGGTAAAAAAATAAATTTAGTTTAAAAAACACCATGGTGAGAATCAATCCTTTTATTGAACATGTTTTGCACTTAGTGAGATGTATCTAAACCTAATAGATTATAGTCATTGAATCAAATATAATCAAAGAGCTACTTTCCAGATCATCTGACTAATAATATAGAAATAAGTGGCTACAAAGGCATTTACGTGGAAGATTTATCATGAGACATAAATTTAAATCAGTATGTTGGCGGACATGTAATAATTAAATTAATGTGGATGGGAAAAACTATATTTATGAATCTTATTGATCTTTAAATTTTTAATTTGAAAAGAAAAACCCAAGTTTGTGATTGGAGCACTTCAACTTATTCGAAGGCAGCAAAAGAATAATATCTTAAATTGTTGGATTATGTCCTGATTCTTACGTGACACTTACAGTTGATGTCAGCTTCCGTTCATTGGCCATCTTAGTTGGTCCTATAAAAATATCAAAAATAAGCTTTAATCACGTGGCTGTGGTAGTAATGACAATAGCATGAACGCAGCTTATGGATTCCTCCTCGTGGCTATATGGGCCTCTGTTGGGCCATAAGTTCATAGATTTGGGCTTTACATCATCAATAGTATTTGGGCTCGATTCCAACCAAGGCCCGGGAAATGTATATATCCATCGACCCGAACCAGATCCGTTGTTCTTCGAGTCAAATCAAAATTCAAATCAACATGAGCACGAAGACAATTTCTTAATCTCGCTGATCTCGAGATCCGACCCGGAGATCACGTCGATCTTCGACCCGTCGAGCTTCACGGCGGCGGATCCGCCGGAATCAAGGGCTTTCCTGGAGACGACGGAGCTGAATATCTCGTGGAGGAGGCGGAGGAAGGCGGCGTCGACGTTGCCGCCGCTGAGAGCGGAGGTCTCGGAGAAGAAGAGGCGCTGTGTCTCGGCGAACTCGACGGCGTCCTCTGTCGGGACGGCGCGGCGGTCGGCGGCGAGATCGGCCTTGTTTCCGACGAGCATCATGACGGCGGAGGGGTCGGCGTGGGAGCGAAACTCCTCCACCCAACGCGCCACGTGGTCGAAAGTCACGCGCTTCGTGATGTCGTACACCACCATCGCCCCCAACGCGCCCCTGTAGTACGCACTCGTCACCGCCCTGTACCTACTCCCCTCCAAATTTTCATATATATATAATTATGAAAAAAATAAACCTTACAATATTTCAGACAGTCTATAGCAGAAGTTGTCAACTCTGTTATTTTAATTAGTAGCTTAATTAAATTAGCCTTGAAGAGTAGAGTATGATCACGGTCAATATATTACCCTGTTTCCCCTCGGGTAACTGAAAACAAACAAAATTTACTACTTCTATATATATGTATATATATTGACGTTTCATTGCTACTGCAAACTCCATGGATCTAGGAAGATTTGTAAAGAACGAGAACATAGTTAAATATGCAGCCATGATAATACACATGCATTCATTCAAATAGCAAAATATGGAAGAGAAAGTGTACCTCTCCTGACCTGCGGTGTCCCAGATCTGAGCCTTGACGAGCTTCCCATCAATGGTGACCGTACGTGTCTGAAACTCCACTCCTATCGTGGATTTGGAATCGAAGCAGAACTCGTTTCTTGTGAATCTCGACAGAAGCTGTGTTTTTCCGACCGCCGAGTCGCCGATCACCACGACCTTGAACACATAATCTATCTTCTCCGGCATCTCCATCACCGTGCCTTTCTTGTTTCCCGGCGACTCTCCGTTCATCTCCTCGTTCATCTTTAGGAGAAGGGTTCTTTGTTTTTGTCTTCTTTAATGGAAAGTGGTTTTGGGGAAGAAAAAGTTTGAAACTTTGAGATGTTTCTCGTGGCTCTTAGCAAGTGGGAGCAAGTGAAAAGGAAAGGGAAAAATGGCTGAACGAACAGTGACTTGTAAGTAATAATCATATGATGTTTTGTTTTGTAGCCTTTATATATAATATACATTTATATAATGATATCATGTGGTTTATAGTATGGACCGACCCATACGAGTAAGCAGTAAGGTGTAGTTACGAAGAATTTTTCAGGCCGATTTCGATACTAATTAATATTTATTCAATTGAAACGATGCTTGGCAAATCATAACACATGGTATTGGTAATGCATCGTTACATTAGGGTTTTTTGAAGCACAAAATTAATCTAATAACATGTCCCTTAAATTGCGGACGAATGTCGTAAATGGGTGGGTCAAAGGCACCTTTAAAGATGTCTAGCAAACGATTTGATTGATATTGGAAAGATGTGAATTTATGAGAGTAATTGATTTATTATAAGAAAAGTAATTACTAATATATAATTATCGGAATGCATGCCGAATCACTTAATACGGATATTTTTTTTTATAAATTAGTTATTCTCATCGAACACTTAACTAACAAATATTTTAAATATGCGATTTCAATATACCTTTTACCAATTTAGTGACTTTTTTTTCTTCATATGAGAGCACAAGTTTTCTATATTTTCACCAGTTCTATACTTTTTTTTGTGTGTGGTAAAACTGTAAAACAGTTCTATACTTTTATGTAATGATTATGTTAGTTTTTATTATTGTACGAACTCGGGGGAATATTAAATGTTTTAGCATCCACAATTATTATTGCAGTAGTGATGTTACAATGTGATCTTAACATTGATTGTTTTCAACTTTTAGAAAAGAAAAAAAAAAGATTGAAATCAGAATAATTAAAAGCTACTATTTAAAATATGTTCCTAATATTCCGATTCATGTATATATATATATATATATATATATATATTAAAATGCGTGTATGTGTTTGCATGTGCATGCATCATTGTGAGCCATAAACTAATTAAATATAAGGAAACACAATGTACCATATTTTGTCGTTGGGTAATGAATGAAAGAAAAGAAATCACATTTAAGTTTTTTTTAACGTGTAGCAAAAAAAAAAAAGTTTTTTTGACGTACGGTAGCTGGATATTGAATATAGTTGTGGGCCTTTGAACAGCCCAGTACATGAGTGTAAGTTAGATGGGCCGTTCTAGGGCAGGCACCGACAGATCTTGGCCTATGAGATCTCACGAATCTACGGTTATAAATTACATTAGTGTATGTCCATCGAATGTTATTTTGCTTTTGCCCCTTTACCATATAATTTATAACCGTAGATTCGTGTGTGGTCCTTGTAATTCCAGAATTGCCCATAACGTGATCCACTGTGGGGTGGGTGGGTGGTCAATGTCCAATAGGCCACGTTTCGTTCATCTCCCCCAATGGATACTCTCTCATCTGTCACATCCCTGAACCTCCCTTCTCTTCAACCGCCGCCGCCTAAGTCCTTTTCCGGCCGCCGCTTGCGACCCTCTGCCACCGCGTCGGCGGCGGCTGGTCCACCAAAGTCATCGTACGTCGTCTCCCTCAAACCCACAGATTCTTCCCTCTCCTTTACCCACAAAAACCCTAACTTTCCAGGGCACGTATCATTCTCATGCGTGAAGCCGAAATCTCATCGGACGCACGAAAAGGCGGCGTCGGGTTATGCTGCGGCGCTCGTGAGCGTCTGCCAGTCGAAGAATTGTCTCGGGAGGACGCGGGGAGATGTTGTGAGATTGGCGGAGTTTCTCGAGGGAGAAGGAAAGGGGGAGGGGGTGAAGGAACTGGTAATGGAGAGGGGTGAATTTGGAAAGTACATGAAGGGTTTGGTCAAGATGCTGGCGGAGAGGGGTAGATTGGGAATTCTTGGGGAAGTGTTGGAGGAGTTTGAGAGAATCTGTGATGAACTTGTCGTTTGGGTTTCTTCATGATCAGGTTACAGGTTATCGAATCTGCAGGTGTGATAAACGATTTAGGTTCGAGTATTTATACAAAAGTTGAAAGATTGTCATGTACCTCCATGAATTGTATGATCTGCCACCTTCTGGGTTGACGTATATGACTGTTCAGTCCTGCATATCTGCCTCTTTGATAACCCTGCAGGGCTTTTAGCCGCCTTTAACATGATAGACCACTGCTGGTTTAGTCTTTCACCACGCCACGCCTCTGCTTCTTTTTTTTTTTCTCTTTTAACAGCCCTACACGTAAATGCAGACACTCAATCACCAGGAATTTTTCTCAAGTTTTTCGTGATCTTACATCACATATTCATTCGGTATATCTTTTAATCTACACTCAATCAATTGGGCGTGTAATCCGTCATCCATGTCTAAATCATATATATAACCTTGAGTCTAATTGTCTCTCTTGATTATCAAAATAAAGAACCACTTGAGAGCATACATATTTGATGTTACTACAATAATGGGATTAAAGTTTTATGAGATATCTCCTGGTTGATGGTAGTTTATGCTTTAAATGTAACGGTTTTATGAATTAAGACAAAGTCAACAATGATACAATTTCATCGGGTAAAATGAGTTTGAAATTGACAAACGAAGGGTTTTCACATGACAGTTGTGATAATTAAATATATTTAAGCAAGTAATGATTGCACAAGTTCCAAATCCCCGGGGACTTTTTTTTTTTTTTATTTAAAAAATCTTGTAAACACAGGAAAGAATCCGAGGATATCCCCCGTAGACAAAAATCCCTTGCTTTGACCTACTTAACGAAGTCGTTCTCTACGGCATCAGCATACATATATACGAATAAGACGGCAATACGCATAATTACGATAATACCCTCACCGTGTATTCAGGTCAAAAGCCCCGCAACTCCAGCAATCGTAATCAAGAGACGTTGGTCCCAAAGATTTGTGACTAACGCCGTCAAGATTCCGTAACGGGTAGTTCAACAGCGCCCGTTGATTTTCCAATCACACCTCTCCACCTCCGCCACTTTTGCTCCTCCGCTGACGTCAGATCTCCGCCTTGGGGTCCACCAGGGTAACACCGTTACTGCATTCCCAAAAGCAGAAGAACAACCCGACGAAGCTTCAGCAGCAGCGCCAGCCCGTAGAGAGAGAGAGAGAGAGAGATGGGTCTGCTGACGAACAAGGTGGAGAGAGAGAAGCTGAAGCCGGGAGATCACATCTACACTTACAGAGCTGTGTTCGCTTATTCTCACCACGGTACTAGATTTCTTCCAAGTTCATTCCTTTTTGCTATTTTGTCTGTCGATTTCAAGATAATCATGTTGGTCTTTTGGAGGTTGTCGTCTGGAATTTCTTCAATGTGGTTTCACCTCTTTTGGACTTTTCGTTTTCTGGGCTTATTTTCCTTCTGCGACGTTTCACTTGGCTAGTGATTATGCTTAGATTTGTTATCTGCCGTCGGTGATTGTGGCCATTTCTTTGCCGAAGTTATTGACTTTTCTATTGTGGACCTTGAAAGAGTCAATTTCCCCCCTTCTTGTCTGGTTGAAAGTTGTAAGCTTGTCGAAGTTAAATTCCAACTTCAGCGGATGTGAGTTGTGCTGTTTTGTCTGAAATCACAGATTCTATATCCATGTTGTTACGCGTCCTTTTGATGTTAATGATGCTGACGCCCTCTCCTGGTACAGTAGAAAGGACGTTTATGTTCATTGACATTTTAAATGAAGAAACCATTTGTATTCTTCTGGTGGGTTTGCAGATGTGCCTCACCCTTTTGATTACCATTTGATTTGCGTTAAAAGGGGTTTGCTTGCTATGGTTCAGTTCTTTGAGTTGATCAACGTTCTTGATTCTGTTGTAATGAGCATTAATTCTGATTGCTTGGCAACTCTTTGAAAGACATATTATCTGGGTTTCTAAATGTTCCGAGAACGGTAGATACAGTCCTAAAACATTGTATATCGACTTCTAGTTACTTTTTAAAGATTGTGATTGAATTTGAAGTTGGTTTTCCATTTGAAACATTGCAGGCATCTTTCTCGGCGGATGCAAAGTGATTCATTTTAGACCTGAGCAAGACCTGAACCCACCACCAGAGTCTTCTTCTTCTTCTTCTGGTCCTTACGATTCCCCTGAAGGTCTTTGTCCGACTTCTCCTGACTGTGGATTTAGACAACCGAACAGTGGAGTAGTCCTTTCTTGTCTGGACTGCTTCCTCAAGAATGGCTCTTTGTATCTCTTTGAATATGGAGTCAGCCCTTCAGTTTTCCTTACCAAAGTCCGTGGGGGCACATGCACCACAGCATCATCCGACCCACCTGAGGCAGTGATCCACAGGACAATGTACCTTCTCCAGAATGGCTTCGGAAACTATGACATCTTCCAGAACAACTGTGAGGACTTTGCCCTCTACTGCAAAACTGGTCTTCTTATAATGGACAAGCTCGGTGTCGGAAGAAGTGGTCAGGCCTCTTCTGTGGTGGGCGCTCCTTTAGCCGCACTTCTCTCTTCTCCCTTCAAACTGCTGATTCCAAGCCCTGTAGGGGTCGCTACTGTTACTGCAGGCATGTATTGTATGAGCAGATATGCTACTGATATTGGTGTTCGGAGCGATGTGATCAAGGTAGCAGTGGAGGACTTGGCTCTGAACCTTCTCGATGGGAAGGCTCTTGAGCAAGGCGAAGGTTCGGAGACCGATACCGTCGGTTGACAGAGATTCCATTCCTGACAATTGGGGAGTAAGTACATAATGATTTACCATAGATCAGTTATCGGTATGAATAAAGATAAAATCTTGTTCTCCCTCCACTTCGTTGCTCCTTGTGCTCAACTGTGATGGAACCATGCCTTAATATCTAAAAATGTGCGTTTCATCTTTGTGTCTGAAATGTTCAAGATCTGTTATCTGGCGCCATTTTTAAGGTTTCTTGAAGGTCTTTGACTGCAGAGTTCATCTCAAGCAACAGGAAAATACACATATTGGATGATTTTCTTGAGTTCTTCATCATGGTATTTGGTGGCTAACTCTCTCTGAGATTTTCGAAGAAGCTGAGGCCGAGTTTTCATGCAGGCTTTTTCTTAGATGCCGAGGTCGAGTTTCCATGCTTGGATTGGGTCAAAACGAAACCTGAATCGATCTTCTATGACCCAACAAGCAATTGGGCCCATAAGAATATATTATTTAATTGGGTCTAAAATGTGAAGCCCAATATTATATTAGGCCTCCATTAGAGTCTTCTACTTGAGATAGAAGGCCTGAAGATAAATCCCAATTAGATGCTAAATGTATATTTTTTTTTTCAATTTACTCTTTAAAAAAAAAGGATATGACCAATTACAAAAACATTTGCGATTTATCCCTTCCTAATAATAATTTCCGCTTAGCGAAAATCACATCCACTTTTTTTTTTTTTTTTTTGGGTGTAAACCATTATCATCGTCGCGGTCCTTGTCATCATCATCTTCTCAGCTTCGCCTTCACATTCCGATTCGCCCACGAAAGCTCTTAGTAAAAAGCAATCGTTTTTCATCTGCACAAAAGCGAGCCCACAGAGATAGGGAAGCACCTAGTTTGAACCCCAACCAATCTTAGGGAAAAAAAATCCCCAAAAGGAAAGGATTTTGGGAATTGGTGTGTCGAATCCACGTGAAAATATCATATTTTTTGTCAGAACCCGTAATCGGGATCTTCGCCGGAAGGAAGAAGAATCATCCAAGGTTTTTGATATTCGATCTGCTCGAAACAGCAAGCGAGAGACGCTCCCTATTCTTCAGGGTCGAGATATTTTAGGGGGTTGGATAATAAATTAGGTGAAGGAAAATGGCGAATCTGTATGTGAAGGCGGTGCCGCCGGCGGATCTGAACAGGAATACGGAGTGGTTCATGTATCCAGGCGTGTGGACGACATATATACTTATACTCTTCTTCGCTTGGCTTATTGTTCTCTCCGTCTCCGGCTGCTCCCCTGGCATGGCCTGGACTGTCGTCAATCTCGCTCACTTCGCTGTAAGCCGTATTCTATAGAAAAATGGACGCTTTCATCCTGATACGTGACGTTTGTGGGTACTTTTGGTGTTTTCGCTCTTTAATCGGTTGGGTGCTTTATTCTTTCTGGGTTTCGGATGCGAGTTTGATATCTTCTGATGAGTGTAATGTTCCATCATGTTGTTAGATGTGATTAGGGGGTTGAGATAGTGAATGCTTAGAACTACGAGTACTCGTGATGTGGTTCGATTCGGATTAGGATGCGATATGTTCTGCTTTCGTTAGTTGCAGAGGGAAATTTTGTCACTAGGATGCATCTCCTGCTTGAGACAAATGAGAAGTCAGTTCTTGGGTTGGGATATGATCAGATGATGTTCATATAAATCCAGAAGTATCTGTGCCATGAATTGAACATGCTTTCTGGGAAAGATTTGCATGAGGAGTCACTTTGTCTGAAGCCTTTTTTTAGCACAAAGGATGTCGGAAAATTGGATAAGCGGATGGCTTATGATTGGAGTTCTTGACTTTCAAATCAAAAGTACTGCTCAAGTTCTGCTGCTGTAACCGTGTTGAAGTTTTGTCCTCTGCAAGATTCAAATGAATGCTACGTGGGTTTTGCTTTCCTCAGGTGACTTATCACTTCTTTCACTGGAAGAAAGGAACCCCATTTGCAGAAGACCAAGGAATATACAATAGCTTGACATGGTGGGAGCAGATGGACAATGGCAAACAGCTTACACGCAACCGAAAGTTTCTTACAGTTGTTCCTGTTGTGCTGTAAGTCCTACTACTCATTGATTTCATCCCCTAAAACTTCACTTGTTTCTCTGATTGTTCTGTCCGATTATGGGCTTGATTGTTCCACTGTCCTTTTCTTCGACCGTTTTGAATGACGGAGTAAAATTTTCGCTTTAGTAGTAAACTTGGGATTAAAGCGATGTTGATGTAGTAACCAGAGGGCTTATTAATATTAAACCCTCTATTTACTGATCCAAGTCTGTGAATTGGTTCCTGTTAGAAAGTGCATTGGGCATGTTCTTCCTTGAGCATAGATAACGTAGCTCTCCCTCTCCGGCATGAACAGGTACTTGATAGCATCTCATACAACAGACTACAGACATCCGTGGCTGTTCCTCAACACTCTGGCTGTGATCATACTTGTGGTGGCCAAGTTCCCTAACATGCATAAGGTCCGCATCTTCGGCATCAACTCTGACTAGTAAGGGGAAAGAAAAAGGAATAGAATCCCACTGGTGATGGATCTGTTCTCTTCTCTGAAAAAAAAAAAAAGATATAGTCAAAGAGTAAAGTTTGTGTATAGAAGGAGGAGGGGAATGCTTCTTATATGCGTAGAAAGAGAGGCTGTCTTTTTAAGGGTTTTAAAGAAAAATATGCGCATCTTTTCTTGAATTCTTGAAGCTGTGTCATATTTTGTACAGAGACGTGTAAATCGCAAAATATACAGTTACTACCCGTCATCATCATCATATCATTATTCAGTAAGATTGGAATTTTTACTATTATTCTTAATTATTATGTTTATGTTGTTGTTGCGAAACTGAACGCGAGAACATAAAAAGATTGGAATTTTCTTATTATTAGAGTCATCTGACATATATGATTTTATAGGAGACAATCCATTAGAAAACTTAATGACAAAAAAAAACATGAATTTTGTGTATTTGGTAAATAAATACACAAACTTTCATTTTGGTAATAAAATACATCAGCTTTTATATTTTTAGTGCAAACATCTACGAACACTAACGACGTCAAAAAAAATAACGGAAACATTAATACGTCATGTATAGTTGTATATAAATATCATATCATTTGTTTAATAAAATCATGTCATTAATTATGTTTAATGAATTTATTATTAACTTTGTTTAGTGACTTTGTTTTTTGATGTTTAAAATATAATATATATTATTAGTGAATTTATTTATAAACCTTGTTTAGTAATTTTTTTTTTGATGTTCAAAACATAATATATTTGCATTTCAAGGGTTCCACTTTCCATATATATTATGTTTTGAATATCAAAAAATAAAGTCACTAACCAAGGTTAATAATAAATTTATTAAATATAATTAATGACATAGTTTTATTAAACAAATAATATGATATTTATATACAACTACACATGACGTATTGATAGTTTTGTTATTTTTTTGACGTTGTTACTGTTCGTGAAAGTTTATACTAAAAAGATAAAAGTTTGTGTATTTTATTACCAAAATAAAAATTTATATATTTATTTATCAAATACATAAAGTTCATATTTTTTTTTTCATCGACCCTTAGGAAAAAAAAGAGGGAAACCAAGTGCGAACATAAAATAAAGAAAGGACAAAAACAAGAGACATGAGAATAAATAAAAATATTAGGAGTAATTAATTAAATATCGAGAGAATCCCAGTGGGCATGTAAAGAAATTGAGTGTTTTGATTTGGAACTAGTGATTAGTTGGAGCAGGTGCACTGTCTATTTAAATTAATGCCATCACACCCATATATTATATTACAAATATCATTCCTTGGACATTTGGTCGTCTTCGTTTCCAAATCAGACTTTGGTTTCTTCCTCCATCATCCGCACCACAATAAGCTAATTGTATTTTTTTTAATCTCTTTCTCCCAAAAAATAATTATATTTCACTTCCTATTGTCGTCACGACAAACAGAATAACACCCAACAAAATTTTTCAATATATATATATATATATATGGGTGTTATATTATTAGTGAATGAGAATAAAAGAGAAATACATATGATATTAACAAACAAGTTAGGAAAGCTGAGCTCTCAGTAATATTGATAGACGAATTCATGAATAACACACACACAAACCATATGCCCACTCACATCCACGAATCTTCTATCCAAAACACGCAAACCTAGAAGTAGAACCCCCAAAAAAAATCAGCATAAAACCCCAAAAACTTAACACTAGTCTTCCTAAAAACACCCACCAATAAAAAAAGGAAAAAAAACGGAAGCCTACATATACATAATATATATGCCACTGTACATAACACAAGTATGTTAAATGGTACTAAACAACGAGGCAAAAGGAGACTACAAGTGGACAAAGACAAGAAAGCGAACAGGAAAAAGTGGGAAGCAATCATGCTCCCAACGCGTCTCTTCCGGGTCTGAGATTCGAAAATCTTATGATTCTGTATAGTTGGTAACTGTATCTCCTTTGAAAGTTTTTGATTTTTCTTGTCTTCTTGATTACTCGTCATCATCACCACGTTGGTCCACCACCCAAGATAATCCCACTCCAGAGCTCATTGCTTGATCCGCCTTGTCTCTTGTTAGTAGCTTCATGCTTCTGGAGATCATGGCCATAAAGATCTTGAACGCGATCATCGTGACTTGTTGTCGTGGTCGCGGTCGGGATAAGCTGTTTGATGTCTTCGTAAGGGAACATGACCCTACCCCCTCCATTAACAACACTGTTACCAATCTCCTCCTGCCCATCCAATGAAAACCCAAGACTCCCTTTGTTATCATAATCTTGATGGAACTGGATCATCCCCGTGCTCGGTCCGAGCCCCCCCGGGCCGAAGAGGCAGATCTGCCCTCCCGAGGGAGACGTGCCAAGAGGGCCGGTGAAATGGCCGAAATGACCCTGGCCACGCGTGCTTTGCATGGCGCCTGAGAAGGAGAGGTTGAGGTCATGGTGGTCAATATTCTTGCTAGGGTTTTGCAGGTGGGCTGATGATGACGATGAAGGGAATACAAATGGAGGGTTGAGATCAGGGAGGATCTTGGCCGTTGAAGGAGAACAAGAAGATGAAGGGGATGATGTCATGATGGTTTGTGGAAGCTTCTTGGACTTTCTAGAACCTCCGCCGACAGGAACATTGCGGAGAGAACCGCCTTCGGTCCAGTATCTACGGCAAGTCTTGCACAAGTACCTTGGCTGTGACAGGCTGTAGTTGTTGTAGTAACAGAACTTGGTGTTTGTCGAGTTGCATCTTGGACAGTTTAGTGGCTCTTGTGGTCTTGTCATCTTCTTCTGATCCAACATTGTTGCTGCTGCCGTTCTTGCTGAAGATGCTGCTGTTCTTGCTGCTGCTGTGATATTACTGTGGTACGGATTATTATTATTACTAATATTATTATTGTTAAGAGCCACCTGCGGATGATACTGATCATGATGATGATGATGATAATGATCCATGTGTGCCAGCTTTACTCTCTTGCGCGGTAATTAAGTTCCTATAGTAAATTATGACCAAACCCTCATGATGAAAAGAACTTGAGAGGATTAATTACGATCAACCCTCATATAAGAACTTTTGCAGAATTAATTATGATCAGCCCTCATAATAATTCAAGAAGAAAATTCCGGTTAAGAAACAATCCAATTCTGTGTAGAATTTCATGTAAGTTCTGATTCCAGATCCAGCTCGGAAAATGGAATCTAACTAAGACCTACGTATAAATTTTTTTTAAAAAAAAGGAATATAAACAAGATAATATCATAGGAACAAATATATATAACAAAGGGTCATGCAAATATATATACATATAGGTGCCTTTTTCTCTTAAACGTTTTTTCTCGGTGGGAAATCATGGTGTTGAAGAAAATTAACGAAGCAAACAGCAGAGCAGAAAAAGACCCAAAAAAGAACAAAACAAGAGTTAGATTAATCCAACATGAAAGATCAAAGATAATCAGAAAGTAATCACTTTCTCATAAAAAAAAAAAGTTGAAAGCAAGAAACCTAAATGAAAAAATAAAGAAAGAGAATGATGATATATATATTCACACAAATATTTTGCATGAAGAAATTTTTTTTAAAAAAAAAGAGTTTTGAAGAACAAATCACCTAAAGGGCAAACATCTAAAGGGATTATATAAAAGAAAAAACGCATCTTGTTTCTAAGAGAAAAAGATGAAAAGATGTAAACCGGAAAAAGCGAAAACCCTAATAAACCCAGGAACTAAAAAGCAAAGGGAGATTAAAGGGAAAGGGCAGGGAAAAAAAGGTAAAAGGAACAAAAAGAGAAAGCAATTGCAGAAGAAACAAAGAGAAAGAGAAAGAGAAGAAGATCCACTGACCTGTTCTGCAAAAGAGATGACTTCAGAGAGAGAGAGAGAGAGAGAGAGAGAGAGAGAGAGAGGAACGAATGTCTTTAGGCTGAAACTTTAGAAGTGTTGGGTTTCACTTTTATGGGCAATTAGTGGTGTGTTTGTTTTGACTATCTTCCTCTCCTTTTTCTTTAATTTTATTTTAAAACTCTATAACTTCCAATTTGAAACATATAAATTATGTTTTTAATACTCTTTTTCCATATAAAATTTCATATATTACCAAATACCGAGTCTATCAAATACCGAGTTCCATATCGCACTGAATATATAAAGAAATTCGAATTTCAGACAACATCGCATCTTGCATGGTGTAGGCAACTGTTTAGCCTCTAGAGGAACTTTATTTATTTGATTTTGTGACATTTTTCGACAAACACAATGAATATATGACGTGCGTAATTAGCCAAAGGGTGTGAAAACATCGACCCACTTATTTCATAAGAGAAAACAAATTGATACACTTGTATACGTTAATCCCACAAAAAACCTCAAACTTATTAAAATGTTTTATATAAAACCATAAACTTGCAATATTCCAAAAAACCTTTGAATTTAGTAAAAACTTGTACAAAAATTACAAACTTACCATTTTATTTCATATAAAACCTTTGACTTGTTTGACCAAAAATTTTATTGATATGTCATGACGGATTGCTGACATAGCGCCGACTGAATTGTCACGTCAGAGCACGTCATCATTTTAAAAATTAAAATTAAAATTTCTAATTTTTGGTCAAATATATATACATATATATTTGTATGTATCTTAAGTTTGTAATTTAAAATTTTAAATATACAAATATATATAAATATATCCATATACATATATACATATATATTTTTTTTATCAAATATATATAGTATATATATTAAGTTTATAATTTAAAATTTTAAATATACAAATAGTTTAATCAAATAAATAAATTTACATATATATATATATATTTGTATATATATATATATATATGTATATAGGGTTCTATACTAAACATTTGAGGTTTTTTTTTTGGATTAACCCTCTGTATATGATAATGTGTGTGATCAGGAGAGATTGAGGAAATAGTCACCATCTCATTAAGAGACGATTGAATGACATTGTGGTACAATTATGATTACACTAAAAAAAATAAAATAAACGAGTAAATAATAAAGGATAATTGTGGGGATTATTTTAATAATTTGTGGGTAGAATTATGAGGTAATGGAGAGTGGGTTTGTGTGGGTCTCTTCGTGTTGACCTCCTCGTGGAAAAAGCTACTTGTTCTTCAATTCCCCACCTCTCTCTGTTTTATTGATTATAAATTTGGTAGCGTGACCATAAACAGAACAATAGGTCAGATATATCACAAGGCACATATTCGCTGATAATTCAAATAGTTACCGTAAATAATTATAATTGCCTAATCATATGATCACCGTAATGTTTATATGTTGACAACACACGGTTATCTTGTTAAAAAGGAATGAGGCGTTGTCGCTATTGAAGAGCCCATATTTTGGACTGATTACAAAATTCTAAATGCATGGAGACGGGTTACATCACTCCGCGTATATAATTTGATATGCATCTGAATATGTCTTACACTGAACAAAATACATTCAAAATAAAATATATGGATATTAATTGTATAAAACCTAATAAAATATATGGAATTTATACATATAATGAAAATACATGCGTGTAATTAAGAGAGAGAGAAGCATGGAAAAAATGGTGTTATGCAATGTTTTGCAACGTTTTATACGCAGCACCATTCCTCCTCTCGTTTTTTTTTAAAGAGATGAGTGGTGGGGCCCATGTTAGGATGGACGACTGGATTCAACATTCGTGTCTCCCTTTACCTGCTCTACGATCTTGACACGTGTCGACTTCTGGTTGAGTCAGTGTTTACTGTGTCATCACGAAATGACGTTTTGCGAATAATGTTGGGATTCTCCACAGTAAATATTGGATATTGTGTTTATTAGATTATAAAAATCAGTGCTTTTTGTCAACATATACATGTTGCTTTCTCATGAAAACGTAGTGTATATATATATATATATATGCAACTCACAAACACATATACATGTACATATATATCTATATATATATATACGTATATATGTGAATATTAGAAAATAAGGAGGCGGCGCGTCTGGTGGTGGAATGGTGCGTTGGATCCAAGTAAGGGGAAAATAGGGGAGTTGCATTGCATATAGTATTGTTGTTTGGGGCTGGCAGACATAATTAGCAATGCACGATCGATGAATTTATAAATTAAAAAAAAAAAAAAAAGGGAGATTTGAGTTTTCTTTTTCACGTGTGTGTGTATATAGCATTCCCTTTCCTCGTCATTCTCCCATATTTACGAGTATGGCTTATTTTTCAGTGCGACATATCTGAAAGGTCCAAGTTTTTTATTTTTATTTTTATGCAATTAGATTATGATGTTACAATGCACACCGGGCTTATTTTAGGCCATTTATTTATTTATTTATCTTAAGATGTTACAACATCTTATAAATATTTACAAGGATGGAGGGCAAGTGTACGTTGTCGCTTTTAATGATTTTTTCCCTCACCGCCATGTGGGCTTAGCGTATAACAGAATTATTCAAAAGATAATCAAGAAATTTTGGTCAAATCCCAATCCAACGCTTATTTAAGACAAGATTGTACCATATTAACCTGTCATCAGACAAGACTCTCCCCCCCAACTCTTTCTTTCTATGCCTATATCTGCAACACGTTACGCATATGAACAAAATATTTATAATAAGCAATCCCGACCACAAATCGTAGACTCAATTAATAAAAAAATAATAATAATTCAGCGACACTAAATTCACGTGGCCAAGATCCTCCGTTATGGTGGCATCCACGATGCCTGCCAGGGTATGTGGTTTTACGATCACCCGTTCTGTTCAAGCCAACGCAGAGCAGAGGTTTAGTGTTCTTCTACTTCTTCGTAGCCATGAAAAAAAAAAAAGGAAGCAAAAGCATCATTATATGTCGATTGATTTGGTGACTCTCGTCTTTTTCGTAATCACGATGAAGCACCGGATATCCTCGATCATTATCCTTCTCTTCCAAGCGATTACTCTCCATCATCATTCACCGCCATTGATTCATCCACCGATCGCACTCCCCATTACCTCTTTAAATTTCTTAGCTTTTCAGTGTTTCCGTCGGATCCCACGATTTACGTTTGATTTCGTAAAGTTTGAAGCTTTGAGCTCAAATCCAGATCTTCAATGGTCGAACTGGTTGTATTCCGCCCGTAGAACCCGTGAACCCGGAGCTGGGTATTCAGCCCTAAGCAATGTCAGCTCCCGTCTCCGTCAGAACCCGACCGGGTCGACCCGTCTCGGTGCCCGAAGACGCAAACAAGCAGATTAACATCAGAACCCATCTCGCCGGCGTCGAATCATCACCGTCTGTCCGACAATCGGAGCTGGGCCCGTTTCTCCTCAATATGGCGCGGGAGACCATTTTCTCCGGCGGTGACCCGAAGAAGGCCCTGGACTACGCCGTCAGGGCAACCGAATACTTCAAATCGTGTCCGGATACGGGTCTGGAGCTCGCCATGAGCCTACAAGCCCTCGCGACGATTTACTCTCATATGGGTCAGCTCGAGGAGGCGGTTCTGGCGCTTGAACGCTCAATCAGGGTCACGGATCCTGAAAACGGGTCGGATCATGCCCTCGCCAATTTCTCCGGCTGTATGCAGCTCGGTGATACTTACACTATGCTGGGTCAGCTTGACTGTTCCATTTCTTGCTACGAATCTGGATTGAGGATCCAGACGCAGACATTGGGAGAGTTTCATCCCAAAGTTGCCGAAACATGCAGGTACAATCCCTGTAATTTTCGAACCTTCTTATGCTTTTTCTCTGTAAATTTCTGATCTTTTCGAACATTAGGTACATCGCTGAGACTTATATTCAAGCAATGCAATTCGATGAAGCCGAGAGACTCTGCAAGAAGATCCTAGAAATCCACCATAGACATAGCTCGCCAGCTTCCATGGAAGAAGCAGCTGATCGACGGCTACTTGCCCTTGCCTACGAAGCCAAAGGAAACTATGACTCTGCCCTTGATCAGCTCGTGTTGGCCAGCATCTCCATGGTCGCCAATGGCAGGGAAGATGAGGTTGCTTCTATAGATGTCAGCATCGGTAACATCTTCTTGTCCCTTTGTCGCTTCCAAGAAGCCGTCTTCTCTTACCAGAAGGCGCTCACTGCCTTCAAATCCAAGAAAGACGAGAACAATCCCTGCGTTGCCTCCGTGTACATCCACCTCGCGAATCTCTATTACAAGACAGGTGACAAGAACTGACTTCCTGATATATAAGTTGATTCTCTGTCATGACATATGAAATGAATGTCGTTGATATATGACTATCTCAATCTCATACAACATCAACAGGCAAGACGAGAGAATCGAAATCATGTTGTGAAAATGCTCTGAGGATATACGCAAAACCTGCCAACGGAACATTGCCAGAGGAGATAGCAAAGGGACTAACCGAAGTGTCGTCAATCTATGAATCTTTAAACGAGCATGAACGAGCCTTAGAGCTTCTTAGCCAAGCGATCAACTTGTTGCATGACAAACCTGCAAACAGTACAACAGTGGCAGGAATAGAAGCTCAGATGGGTGTGATATTTTACATAATGGGAAGGTACAGAGAGTCTCGAAGCTCGCTCAAAAGCGCAGTGGAGAAGCTGAGCTCAAACGGAGAGAGCAGAACCGCTTTCTTCGGGATAGTGGTGAACCAGATGGGACTGGCCTGCTTGCAGATGTACAGAATAGGCGAGGCAGCCGAGTTGTTCGAACTGGCAAGAACCATACTGGAAGAAGAATGCGGGCCGATTCATTCAGACACTCTTGGTGTATACAGCAATCTCGCTGCAACATACGACGCCATGGGAAGGTGAGCAGCTTAGGATTGTTTGTAGTGTGTATATATATATGTGTATTCAAAGCTTTTGCATGAATGGTATGTTAAACCAGGATTGAAGACGCAATAGAGATACTGGAGCATATTCTGAAGGCGAGAGAAGAGAAGGCAGGGATACCAGATTTCAATGAAGAGAAGAAGAGGCTGATCGAGCTTCTTAAGGAATCGGGGAAGCCTCGGATTAAGAAAAAAAGGCCGCTCAAGAAGCTTATCGGCTCATCATTCAGATTTTGATGCAATGAGTTTCTTGAGGGCAAAGGTTAAGGATATAGACTTTGACCGTTATACACGGCACACTCGTGTTCTTTCCATGAGACATGTTTCTCATATGTTCCATCATTTTTTAATAAATTCCAATGAATACTATTTGATTATTTGAATTCCATCGATGGGCTTTATATGGGCCTAAATATGAGATCTAACCTGGGCCTAGATACGCGCTTTTGCGGTGTTATTGTTTATGGGTCTAAGGAGCTCTCCCAAGCCCAAGGCCTCGTACAATCCATGTGTGCACAGACACGCATACGACGAGAGAGAGACACAACAGGCACGCCGTGAACTCTCCGTCGACGAGCCACGTGGCATCTACGTTGACGCAAGCGGAGGACCACCCGCCGGTCAACATCAACTCCGGCAGCTCAATGTCCTCCCAGAAATTGTTGCCGTCGTCAATGTCGGAAACGACGACAACTTCGCCGTCGATGGTCTTGGACCTGGTCTTGACGGCGTGAGCGGCTTTGGAGGCGGCGGCCTGAATATGCCTGGCCGTACACGTGGACGGTCGAGACCAATCATCGGCCTCGTCGGGGGAAATTGAGCTGTGCTTTTCGTCCTTTGAGGCACAAAGCCGCCACGTCATAGGCTTTTGCAGCCATCCCCGGCTCTGGAAAAGATCCAAGCCGTACACTTGCGGAAGGCGTTACGGCTCCGCGTTCTGAAATTACGTAAATGCCCATGCATGACACCTCCCTTTTAATCGTTTTGTCATCTATATAAATATAATTCACATCACGTTCTTTCCGAAATCCCTATTAAAATATAGGAAATCTTATTTATACACACGTATTCAGGGTATAAATTTTATATGATGCTTAAATTTATTTATGACATAAACTAATGGGAACATAAAATTTGTAACAATATATTAAAACCTATACAACTACTCACCACAATATAATTTTGATAATTTTTCCTAGATAATCAAATAATGTAAAAGACGATTACCGACGTTTTTTTTTTTTAATAAACATGCCCAAACCGTAGATTCTATACCCCGATAACTTGTTCTGAAGGGTAAAGGAGGATTGCTCGTCTGGGCCCAGGCCAACACATCAGACGGCCCGTAGATAATTAATATAATATGACATGGGACCCACGTCTGGTTTGAAAAGGGGTTAAAGCACGTGAAGCATGAGGTCCCCACTTTTCTTGCTTGTTTGATAGCCCGCCTTCCACACTATTGAAAATTTATAATAATAATAATAATAATAATAATAATAATATGAGCAGGCGCTTGCCGGGAAAACACGTTAAAGATGGAAAATATTAAAATAAAAGGTCACGTTATTCTCACACAGCCTCGATCCGCGTGATTATCACGTGATCCATCTATCTATTTTTTTTTGGATAATAAATGATCCCTACCTGCTACCTTTCGGATACACTGACTAGGTAAATCTTCAGCACGGAAACAACGTTTGTATATGAGTAATATAAACCCAGAAATTACATCTCTTCCCACCAGTCAAAAATCAAACACTCAACTTCAAAGTGGAATTACTTCCTATCCATCTATCTATATTCTCACCTTTCATTTTTTTGCCCTTTTTCACCTGTCTTCCCATGATAATATAAGTTACCAAATTCATGTTCATTATCTGTTAGCCAAATTAAAAAAAAATAATCTGTAAAATAGTGACCATCATAATAATGCAATGGAACATATAAATACGACGAATTTCATAAATTCAATTAATTACTGAACCGACTCACCACGTGGGATTGGGAAGCTATCGGCCCACGTTACAACCACGTGCTCTCTCTCAAATTGCCTCTTTATGTTGGTTAGTTAATAGCTTAAGGTCAACGGTTTGACCCAATAATTCATATATTTTTCTTTTGTGTACATGTTTCCCATGGCGTATAATGTTGTCGGAAAATACCCGTAACCTGCTGTATTAGTTTTATATGCATTTTTATACATGTTTCTCTTTATATAAAACAATCCAGATATGTATGTGGGCTTCAGCTAATATGATTATATTGTTATATAGATAGCAAATATAACTCAAATCTGTATGCTTTAATCAATATTTTTGTAAGCTTTATATATATATACACAATATTATATTTTCGACGGATAAAACTCGACAAAAATATATTATCAAACGATTTAATCAAAATTCGAGTGAGCTTATACATAATTTCTCCGTCACGTTCCATCAAAACTTGGATTTCAAAGGGAAACGGGTGCAAATTAAAATTGTAATATCGTGTCGCAGACACTCGAGAGACAAGACAGAAATCTTGTCGAAATCGAGTTCCAAATCCTATCCATCTCCTGATAAGCTCCGACCCGGGCTGGTTACTTTCTAGCCCTACCCTATAGTTAATAAGTAACCGTGGTCCACTCACGCAAGTTTTTTTTTTTAATTTAATAAATAGAGCACGAAGAACATGAGTTAAGACTTTCTCTCTCTTCCTTGCTTTTCGGTTCAATTGGATACGGAGATAGAAGGCGAGGAAAACTTAAAAATCAACTCTTCTCTTTTTCCCCCTTTTTCTCTTCTCTCGTTTTTCCACTTGCTTCGGTTGCTCGGGGATTTCGGGGAAGTTTGGTGATTTCATTTCGGGTTCTGGGCAGGTTGATTCTCCCATGTATAAGGATCGAGTCATGTTGCGATTTCCTGGTGTTTCGGAAATTTGAATCGGCTACTGATTACTGGTGTGTATTAGATCTTCAGATATTTTTCTTTTTCTTCCTTATCTTCTGTCGATTTGTGTATCATCTTCTGGGTTCTCACCTCGGTTATTACCATACAGGTGAGATCTGGGATCGTAGGTTCCATGCAATCTTGTGAAGCCCCGCCGGATCTTTTTGCATCTGGGTCAGCTGTAAACCCTAGATTTTGACCAGCATTAGATCTCCGGCGATCTGGATTTTGTGAAAGTTCCGCTCTTTTGGTTTGTTGCTTTCGGGTTTTTCTTTTTACAGATTTGAAATCACCAGAGATGAATATCGGCGGCGTAGTCTGGAACGAGGATGATAAGGATATTGTTGGTTCGTTACTGGGGAAACGTGCTTTGGATTATTTGCTTTCGAATTCCGTATCGAATGAGAATTACTCGATGTTGATGACGATGGAAAGCGATGAGATTCTGCAGAACAAGCTCTCTGATCTCGTCGAGAGACCCAACGCTTCTAACTTCTCGTGGAACTACGCCATCTTCTGGCAGATTTCGAGGTCAAAGACTGGAGATTCAGTTCTCTGTTGGGGCGACGGCTCGTGTAGAGAGCCAAAGGAAGGAGAAGAGTCTGAGATAATCAGAATTCTCAGCATAGGGCGCGAAGAGGAGACGCAGCAGAAAATCCGTAAGAGGGTATTGCAGAAGCTGCACACCTTTTTTGGCGGATCAGAGAAGGAAAATTACGCATATGGGTTAGACAGGGTTACAGATACGGAGATGTTCTTTCTGGCATCGATGTACTTCTCCTTCCCTCGTGGAGAAGGTGGTCCAGGGAAGTGTTTTGCCTCACAGAAGTCCGTCTGGTTATCTGATGTGTTGAAATCAGGTTCTGATTACTGCGTGAGGTCCTTTCTCGCCAAATCTGCAGGAATTCAGACAGTTGTGTTGGTTCCAACTGATGCTGGTGTTGTTGAGCTTGGTTTGATGAGATCTTTACCAGAAAACCAGGAATCAATGCAGTCCATAAGGTCGTTGTTTTCGAGTAACTTGACATCCGAGAGGGTGGTGAAGCCAGTGGTGACTGGTTCTCCTGTCGTGCCCGAGAAGAAACACGAGAACAGATTGGCGGGGTTTGGGATTTCGAGTCTCGGTGTTCAGGAGAAAGTAGTAGGGGCTCCGAAACGTTTTGGGAAGGATTTGCATAACTTGAATCTCCTTCATCACCATAATCACGACCAACATAGGCATTTCAGGGAGAAACTTATGATCAGAAAGACAGATGACAGAGTTCCTAGGACATTGGAAGCTTATCCAAATGAAGGCAGGCTTATGTTTTCAAACCCGCCCACCAACAGTGTCCGAAGTCCAACATGGGCACGAACTGAGATTTTCGGTTCTCGAGCCATATCAACTACCACAACCACAGCAACAACGACGACCAATACCAAAGACCTTGCAAGTGGAGATGATTTCCGGTTTGTGCCATTGCAGCCACAGAGACCAGCCCAAATGCAGATTGATTTCTCTGGTGCAAGTTCAAGGGCATGTGATAACGCAGATGCAGATGGAGAAGGATCAGAGTGGCTGGACACAGGCGATGAAGGGGGCAGGCCAAGAAAACGGGGAAGGAAGCCAGCAAACGGCAGAGTAGAGGCGCTTAACCATGTAGAAGCTGAGAGACAACGGCGTGAAAAGCTGAACCAGCGGTTCTATGCGTTAAGAGCTGTTGTGCCCAATATAACCAAAATGGACAAAGCCTCTTTGTTGGGTGATGCAGTGTCTTATATCAATGAGCTCCATGCCAAGCTCATGGCCATGGAAGCCGAGCGTGAGAGATTAGGGTACAGTTCGAATCCCCCAATCAGCCGAGAACCCGAGATAAATGTTCAAGCCTCAGGGGAGGATGTAACAGTGAGAGTGAACTGCCCTCTGGATTCTCATCCCGCGTCTGGAGTCCTGAACGCGTTAGAAGAAAGCCAAGCAAAGGTTATCGACTCAAAGCTCGAAGTAGCTCAGGATATGTTGTTGCATACCTTTGTGATCAAGTCGGGAGAGTTGACGAAAGAGAAGTTGATCGCGGCCTTCTCCCGAGAGCCGCCCACTTCTTTACAGATGAGATCATCATCATCAGGTAGATAGCCGGAGTATTAGTAACTATGGAAGGAAGAACTGATCTCGAATGGTTTTGTTCAGGGGCTTTTTGGGTTATAGATACCTGTAAGGATCCATCCACTCAACAGAAATAGACGTAATTGACAAAGTAGACATCTTCATAGTTCATACATTGAGTTGCTATTTACATTAGTCAGAATCTCCTCTCTTGTTTGTTCAGTACTCTAACTAGAGTCCAGGGCAAAAAAAAATGTTCTTGACCTCCATGGTTTTGTACAGTTGAGTGGAGTGAAATGTTACACTCGAACAAAACAGTAACAACTCTAACATGACTCAAACTCTACTAATCAAGATTCTGCATATATGAAGGTGGCCACATAGCATGCAAAACCGAAAGTGTTATCAGTTTTTGCCTCATTGAAGGGGTTTCTTCCGAGTTCAGACTTCATCAGCTTTCATAAAGCATGGCCCTTTTTGATGACCCTCTTGAAAAAATCTGTTACTTAGGACCTACGTTCTTTACTCTGGAGATTCATGACATTTTCTCCCTCTGTGTGCCAATTAGTTACCTCCACATTGTTGGCCATGGCGCCTGACAACACAGGTGAGGCAGCTGATGCATCCTCGTTCGGCTTTGCAGAACCTCGCTTGTCTGATTTCTTAGCCCAGCAATCCTTTGTGGGATGTCCCTTCTTGCCACAGTTGTTACAGACCATGATAGGTCTTGCTTGTCTCTCAGCTCCTTTCCTCTTCCAACCAAGGTTCTGCGTTCCTCTCTGTCTTGTTCCCGTACTCATTCTCCTCTCCATGTGAAAGTTTGTCATGATTCTAGTCATGTCCTTCCTTGTTCCATATCTTCGAAACTCTTCCTCGGCTTTTACATGTTCCATCAACATCCAGACCGGTAAGAACTCCTCCTGCATCAACTTGATGCAGAACCCTTTCCAAGAAGGTGGGAACTTGGAAATGATGGCGCTTAAGTGAAAATTCTCATCGAGAAACATGCCAGCACTGATTATGTTATCTGCAATCTTATTAAAGTCTTGGACTTGTTCGAGAATCGGCCTCTCTTCAACAATTTTGAACTCCATGTACTTTCTGACATGAGACCTTGAGCTGGATTCTTCAATCTGGTAGACCCACTTTAACTCATCCCACAATTCTTTGGCACTTTTGAAGTTCTTCTTCGAGTACTGATGATAAAGATGATCAGACAAGGAGTTCAACAAGTGATGGTGGCAAAAGTAGTCATCTCTTATCCAGTTTTGTTTTGCAGCTTTAGAGCGAGTTGTTTCATTAGGGTTGGTTTGAGGAGCTGAAGAGCTACTCGGACAAGGTTCAGTGAGAACATAAGCCAGATTCAATTGCTTCAAAAATATTTCCATCTGCGACACCCAGCAAAGGTAATTCTTCCCATCAAAACGTGAAGTCTCGACATGAAAAAATTGATGAGAAGTGTCATCCACTGCACCGGATGCATCTCCATTTTGGGTAGATTGAGATCTGCGTAATGTCAATTGAACAGGAGACGTTATGCTAGCGTTTTGACCGGTAACAAAAATCCTATGAGATAACTAAACACAAGACAGCAATGCCCAACAACATGAACAAAATGTAACAATAATTGGACACAAGAATACCACATTCAGAATATGAATCTTATACACTCGGTTAAAAGGTCACAACCTTACCTTGATGATCTTGACTGTAACTTCTTAATAGCTTCCTCTATTGCAGGGATATTCGTCTTGATGGCTGACCACTCGTCCGTTGACAAATTCACTCCTGTGACAGAAAAGCCAGCCACGAAAGCTTTCAGCATATGCATCACAGCACGAATAGAACATTATCGTACATACACGACAAAATGAAATGAGAAATCAACTAGGTTAATGGCAGAGGAAAGGGTTGTTAGGATTGATCATAGAACTTCCTAGGAAAACTAGAAATACGAGGGAGAAAAAACACTCCAAGCAGCAGATTCACAGAAAAGTCGAATAATGCAGAACACATACCACAAGATTTGATTCAACTTTAGACCCAAAGGCAGTAGCAGATGCCAGAAAAGGCAGAAAGTGGCACTAAAAGGAAACTCACACACTCCTCTAATAAACAGAACTAGAGCGGCATGGCTGAACATAAAGCCTAAGAACAGGAACTGTGAAGAACTTTTTTTTTTCCAGCAATCCTAAAAAAAAGGAAGAGAACAAAGCCAAAAGCGTGAAGAATTTACCTCTAAATGCAGGATGCTGTTTTCTGTTTCCCACTGAGTGCTCCCCCATCGATAGAAAAGCTCTGCCTCTATAACGGCGCACCACAGCATTCCTGTTCTCCGACAACTAGTTCCATAGAAACGAATTTCCAGAAAAAACATCAATAATCCAACAAAAGTCTACGTTGAGAAGCAATCGAATCTTTACGTTTCTCCTATGATCACTAACTACTCAAAAAAATCCAGTGCAAAATCAAACCCAGATAAAGAGATCAAATTTCGAATTTTCAGATACAGAAACAGGATTAGAACTCATCTTGCAACCTTACAGATAGTGCGCTCATCTTCACCGGCACCAACCTCCCTCTTCACCGCGGCCGTCTCCGTCACCGGAGATTCATTTTCGGGGGTAGAGAGCAGGAAGGAATCCAGTACGTTGCTGATTAGCTTCTTCTGCTCCATTCCCGAGAGGTCCAGACCGAGTCGAGACGAAACGGCGACTCTGAGCTTGAACTCGGTCATCTCGTCCATGTCGGCTTCTTTGAGTACATCCCTCACTGTTTCCTCGATTTTTCGTACAGTTTCGGCTTCCATAGTTCCCCGAGAAACAACCGACGAGTTTCTGATCTGGTGTTAGCCAATCAAAGGATAAGCACTAAAAGAGATTGAGTTTCTGATGTTTAGGGTTCATATCATATCTCACCGTGTTACAAAAAAAAAACTGAACTTTTTGGGGGAGAGAAAAAGGAAGGTCCCACCGAGATTTGAACTCGGGCTATTGGATTCAGAGTCCAATGTCCTAACCCCTAGACCATGGAACCGCTGAGATTTTCTCTCGAAAAAACATTTCCTAATCCATTTTTACCATAAAAATAACATTTTATTATTTCTTACTTCTTAGTAACATATATTGAGATAAAAAATGACCATATATGAAAACAAAGCACATAGCAGGGGAGTAGTCCTTCTCTAATGCATGATTTCACTATATTCTACCGTAATCATAGATCAGATGAGGGTCCTCTTAATGGGCATGCCTCTCAAGGCATTAGCATGTAAAGCCCAAATATTTTGTCCAGGCCCACTAGTATGGGCCATTATTGGGTCCTCAGGCATGGAAAAACTACTAACCATCCAAAAGGCTCGAGTTGTTTCGCGGGCCAATGAGCGGGGAAGCCCGAACGAGCCGAGACTGAGAATCATATAAACCTTGCAGAAATGTTGGAGGATGCTTTCTCTATGAGCAATGTGACGACGATTCACGCCGTGGGAAGGAACCGGAGTTGTTGCCGATCGATATCGAACGGATTGAGGCTCTGTCTCTTGAGTTCTGCCAATTCTCGCAGCTCTTTGCTGCTTCGTCTCGACTTCTCGCTCCGCCATGTTCCTCCGTCGCTTGTCGTCTGGTGTTTCTCGTTTAGGAAGGGCTCCCGGCTGCAGAAGCTGCCATCGCTTATCTTCCGCTATTGAAGAGCTCAATAAGGTGCTTCTTCTTCTGTTGTCTCTCCTCTGGGTTGTTGGAGTCGTATGTCTAGGTGATTGGTTTCGATTAGGTTTCGATTCTGAGGTGAGTTGGGCGATTAGGGTTTTAGCTTGGGTTAAGATTTGTTGTCTACAATGATTAGTATGGCTGCAAAACAGAGAAGATGATGCTGAGCGCTACAAAATACCTTGACTACGAGTTGAGATTACCTCCAAATGACATGTGATGTGACGAATGCTGAGAATTTGAGATTACCGCTTTTGATTATCCAACATCTTTTCTGATGTCAGTTCAGCACTGGTGTTTTCAGGAAATGGAGTCAATATTTGGAGAACCCCCTTCAAATGGGTTTGTCGGTTCTGCGAGCAAGATTACGGTTGACCATGAATCGAGACATCAATCTGTGGAGTCCACCAATTTGAAGGCAAACAACTCCCAAACTCAAGAACCAGCAGGTGTTATGTCTGGGCTAACACATGTTGGAACCTCGGGAGAAGCTCAGATGGTGGATGTTTCGTCCAAGGAAAACACTAAGAGAATTGCATTGGCTAGCTGTAAGGTCATTCTTGGGAAAAAGGTGTTTGATCTGGTCTTAGCCAATCAGATGGGGAAAGGAGATGTTCTTGGTGTGGCGAAAATATCAGGCATCAATGGTGCGAAACAAACTAGCAGCTTAATCCCGTTGTGCCATAATATCACCATCACACACGTTCGTGTAGACCTGAGGCTGAATCCCGAGGATTTTAGTGTAGACATTCAAGGTGAAGCTTCATGCACTGGAAAAACCGGGGTTGAGATGGAAGCTCTGACTGCCGTATCAGTTGCTGGCTTGACTGTGTATGACATGTGCAAGGCTGCTTCAAAAGACATTCGTATTACAGACGTCAGGCTCGACCGTAAAACTGGTGGAAAAAGCGGGTCCTGGTCTAGAGGCGAGTGAAGCATCTCTGCTATTTAACTCAAAGCGGTTTGGCCTTTACCCATGTTCCATAGAGGTTAGTTTCCTCTCCTCAGAGCTTATTTCAAGATTTTTTGAACTTTTAACTGGTGCCCTCTCTAAGTAATGAGGAAACTTTTGCATAACAGTAAGTCTAACAAGCGTGTTCAGTGGATTGTTTCCTAAGTGGTTCACTCTGGTTTGACTTCAATTCTGTGCATTGAACATTGGCCAATTATATTCACACATACACCATGGAAAGCACAAGCTGAGTTGGGATGTGATCTGTCGTTGGTGCTGTTTGAGGTGTGATGCAGAAAGTGGGGAGTGATATTTTACTTACCCGTGAAGAGAACCTTAGATTTAGAAGGGCATTGTTTCTTTTAATTTCTCTTTGCTTCTACATGTTGTATCCTTCATATTCTTCTGACTTTTGTCTTCTTCAATTTCTTTTTTTTTTCCTGTTTTGGAGAAGGGTCTCCAATAAAAGAAAATTCTTGGGGTTTTGGTCTTTTTTATCACATGCTTTCAAGCCTTTTCTTGCACCCATTACATTGAGTTACAAGAAGTTTCTTCTCTCTTTTCCTGGTTTTCTGTATTGGGTTCAAACACGACATAATCCACCATGTTTACGAAATTTCCATCAAGAAAAAAGTTTTTTTTTTTGTTGAAAAAAATATGGTGGTCAGATATATAGATGTTTAGTTAAGAGAAGCCAGCAACATTTATTTGATTATGATGTCGGAATTGGAATCTACTTTGTGTATATGTCACGACCACTCTTAAAGCTGAGCCACACGTAAAAGTGCTCTCTCTCTCTCTGCCGCCTGTTGTATTTGTGCCAAAACCCTCATCCCAATATGCCCTTTTTGTTCTTTTCATTTGAGACTTTAATAGATTTGTTCTGTTCATTTCTTTTATGATTAGTACAATTTCGAAAAAAAAAGGGTTTGATGGAGAAATCAATGCTTCAACTGTGAAAGCAATTGCTCACTGCCATTAATATGTTCACATTCTTTAACAGCATGTAATGTAGGGAATGGTCTCAACTCTCACCATTTAATTGGGCCTCACAGATTCCAATATTACTGCCTCTTCAAGCATTTAATTTCCTTCACCCTCTTTCTTGTTATATATATATATATTTTAAAATTCAGAGTGAAATACCTCGAAGGATCATCTCAAGAACACTGATCAAATACTATTAGATTTTATTTTATTTTTATTATTTTTTCTAATATCCAAGATTGGATACGAAAAGATCCAATCTGGGGTTGTGGGTTAATGCACAAATCTTGTGGGGGAGGAATGAAAAGGGTTGAAAGATTGACGATATCAACAAAGATCGATCGGGATGAAGGTGCATGAATCTCAAGCGCATGGTTCATGTGCCATTGTATTAAAATTTAAAAAAAAATATATATTAAATCACAGCACAGACACGTACACGTAGACAACATGCACACACCATCAAAATATTGGTCATGTTCTTTTTCGCTTAATTCTACCCATTTCTATTGTTTACATTATTCATTGACGTAAATATGCCAGTTCCTACCCAAGTTTGGGTGGTCTAGTGAGAGAGAACATGCAAAGTATACTCTCACCTTGAGTTCAAACCCAAATTTAAGTGGTGGAGTGAGGAGAGAACATGCAAAACATGCTTTCACACTGGATTCAAATTCAAACGTGGGAATCCCAGAAACATTCACTTGAGCTTTTCCGGTCTTTTGGGAGATATAATGGAGACAACACGGTGAACTTCCGAATTATAAAAAAAAACATACCAGTTCCTATGTTTTTTCTCGCACTAAGAGCCTAAAGTTTATAAAAGACACACGTATATACATATTTTGTTTTGTTTTTGTATTTTTTCCCTTTCCGATACACAAGCATTAGTATATTTACTCTTAGAGGAAATGGTGGCATCAATCGTGGGGAAAATGAAATCGTTATGCATCATTACATCAACCCATTAACCACGAGGTGGGTTTTCACTGTTTCCAGAAATTAACCACCATCATTAAAAACGTTTTTAAGTTAATTTAATTCAATCTAAGCATGCCCCCACGCCATACATATAGTGTCTTCCTCCACATCTCCAAATGTCAGATTTATAATTGCGCATTTAATTTACGACAATCAAATTAGGTCTCTTAATTAAATTGGAAATTAAAGAAATTTTACATATCTCCCTTAACATTATTATTTACAAATTTACCTACAATCCCAATAATAGAAAAAAAACCATCGTCGGACATTTAACCACAAAATCGGAAAATGATACATATTTTTTGTTGTATGATATTTGTATAAATTTAAAAGCGATTGTTTTTTCCCACGCTATCTTCAGACGTGCAATTATTTATACACTCTCCTTCTGCCTCTCCCCACTCTCATTTTCCGAGAAAACTCGAGAAAATGGAAGGAAAAGCTCTCCTCTTTTCCCTCTGTTTCCTCTTTCTCTCTCTCCCTTCTCTATACCGCTTTCCAAACCCTAATTCTGAATTCCCTCCCTCCAGCTCCTTCTCTCACGTTCGAATCCGAGTCTCTGTTCGAAACTGGATCTGACTCCGACGCTGCCGACGATTCTCTCACCCTACAGCTCCACCACATCGACGCACTCTCCGCCAACAAGACGCCGGAGGAACTCTTCCACCTCCGCCTCCACCGCGATGCCCGGCGCGTAGAATCAATCGCCGCCCGGAGCCGCCGGAGAAATGCGACCGCGGGGAGCAGCTCGGTGGTCTCCGGTCTCTCTCAGGGAAGTGGAGAGTACTTCACCCGCATCGGCGTCGGGACTCCGGCGAGGTTCCTCTACATGGTCCTCGACACCGGCAGCGACATCGTCTGGCTCCAATGCGCTCCTTGTCGGAGATGCTATTCTCAGTCCGACCCTATTTTCGACCCGTCAAAGTCCAAAACCTACGCCGGAATCTCCTGTTCCTCGCCGCTCTGCCGTCGTCTGGACTCGCCGGGATGCAACACTCGTCGCCAGACTTGCCTCTACCAGGTCACTTACGGTGATGGGTCCTTCACCTTCGGCGATTTCTCCACCGAAACACTGACTTTCCGGCGGTCGCGCGTGAAGGGTGTAGCTCTCGGATGCGGCCACGACAATGAGGGCCTATTCGTCGGCGCTGCCGGTTTGCTTGGCCTCGGCCGGGGCCGGTTATCGTTCCCCGCCCAAACCGGCCGCCGGTTCAACCGCAAATTCTCCTACTGCTTGGTCGACCGGTCAGCGACGTCCAAGCCGTCGTCCATCGTGTTCGGCGAGAGTGCCGTCTCACGCGCCGCCAGGTTCACACCGTTGCTGTTGAACCCAAAGCTCGACACGTTCTACTACGTGGAGCTCCTGGGAATCAGCGTGGGAGGGACACGCGTCCCCGGCGTGTCCGCGTCTCTGTTCAAGCTCGACCAAACTGGCAACGGCGGTGTCATACTGGACTCGGGCACGTCGGTGACCCGGTTGATCCGACCCGCTTACATCTCCATGAGGGACGCGTTCCGGGTCGGAGCCAAGAACCTGAGACGGGCACCGAACTTCTCGCTGTTCGACACGTGTTTCGATCTGTCCGGTTTGAACGAGATCAAGGTCCCCACGGTGGTTCTCCACTTCCGGGGAGCTGACGTGTCACTTCCGGCGACGAACTACCTGATTCCGGTGGACACCAACGGCAAATTCTGCTTCGCCTTCGCGGGAACAACGAGCGGTCTCTCCATCATCGGGAATATCCAGCAACAGGGCTTCCGGGTCGTCTACGACTTGGTGGGTTCCCGGGTCGGGTTCGCTCCACGAGGATGCGCGTGAGCCCGAGCCCTAACCCGACTCGACCCGGTCTTTTCTCACGACCTGGTACGGACGATGTACCGTCCTTTTATTTGCTACTTTTGGGGTGTTTTTTTTTTTAACTTATGTTTGTGAAAACCGATCAGACAAGTGAAATCTTTGAGCGGTAGATTTGCTACTTTTGATGATATTTTTCATCACGCGTTGTCGGTCGAATCATCTCCAATATATATTTTGTTTTATGGTTCGTTCAGAAAGAGCATTGTCTTAACCTCCAATTGTTAGTTATCTTATGCCCCAAAGTATATAACCCATTTTGGTTCGAATGGTTTCATTAATCTGATTGTCTCTTCAAACTTTAAGACTCTCGGCGTTGCACAAATATGATTCAACATAAATTATGAATAAACAAAAGAATTCAATTTAGAGTGTGACATGCAAAGAAAACACACAAGTATGTATGTATGTATGTATGTATATGCTGTCCGAGATTCCAATGCGTTATGTATAAAATAACCTTCCTTTGGCATATCGATGTGGACCGACCTTGAGGTTAAATTGAATATATATATATTCTAATATATTGAATACAGATCTGCACATGATAAAATTATGTAGGAGAACATGGATTCGGGTCCCTTGTAAATCGGACAAATAAGAAGATCCAGCGTGAAGATAGAGGGACTAATCCTAGTTTATTTCAAACTCGACTGCCTTGTCCGTTTTCGAACAATGGTTTACTTAATCAAATTTAAATGTTTTTTTTGTTGTTACAATGATTCGACCACGATTAAACAATTCCGAGCCCTTGGTCGCCTTCCTTTCCCCCCAAGCCCATGTGCACCGTCGGTCCATTAAGGCATTAACTCACCCTTTAAAAGTTATTTCCTTTTCCACACTCTGATTATAGCTACAGAGCTTTATTAAAATCAAAAGAAATAATCCAAAAAAATTCTAAATTTTCTAAAATTATTTAATCACAATATTAAATTCCATAATTTTAAGAATATTTATATTTTATAAATGTATCTAAAAGACTTTTATATTTATTAATTTATCTACTTCAAACTCATTTCTAAAAAAATTACGATAATAAATTAATTATATATATATAATTAGATTGTAAACCAATAAATTAATACAAATTATAGATAATTTTTAATATTTTTAGAAAAGAAAAAATTATTTGAATCTCTGTACTTCAATTTTAATTTATTAAAAAAATAATTTGGATTTTTAAAAAATTTATTTAAAATAACGTGCTCATATACTGAAATAAATCACGAGAGAATTCGTTCATCCAAAGCGATTAACAGTTAAACAGTTTAAGTCCGTACGGTTTTGACCCCACTTTTCCACTGCTTATCGTCAAAGTTGCCGGTAAATTACCTTAGAAATGTCATTACTTGATGACTTTCACGCGTGACTAAGCGGTGCCCACTTGACAAGGGCCCAACTTTATTACATTAATCGCTTATTTGATTCATAAATTTCAAAGGGTTCCACACCTATTGATCGGATTTCCCCCAAATTCTCCTGATTTAGGGTTCTTCCGGGTTCGTTCAATTGTTTTTTGGGGTTCAATGAGCATGGAATGCGCTCGATCCTTGGATGTGACCGAGGCCGACGAAGAGGTCCATCACCATCGACGCGACAATAGCCGTCAGTTTCCCCCTCCGGCTACGAAGATTCACACCGGCGGCGGCGGCGGCGACGACGGCTGCTGTATTCCTAGTACGACCAGAGTCCATGAACTTCTCGAATGTCCTGTTTGTACTAATTCCATGTACCCTCCAATCCACCAGGTTTGTTCGATCTCTCTGTCTTTTTTTTTGTACATGGGTCGGCGAATCGTCTGCATAAACTACGGATTCAATTCGGAACTTTTAGATAGAAAGTATGGATATGGATGACTCAGTATGATTGATACTTCGGATGACTTTGGCACCGATGGTCCTTCCTATTTTTTTTTTTCAGGGAATTGTTTTGTTGTAAATATTTGATTTTGACTGAACTTGATGTGAGCTTAGAGTATCTTGTATCCGTATTCGGTTTAAGAAATACATGCGTGTTGCCAAGTATCTGTTCTTCCAGAGCTTTGATGGTTTCTAAAAGGATGGAAGAAATTAGGGCTGGTCGAGCCAGTTATTTGCTGTGGATGTTAGATTACCTTTTGTGATTTATTGGGGTAATAATCTCTGCGAGGATATACAAATCAAGATCTCTGACTGATCCTTTTCTTGTTTATTGTGCAGTGCCATAATGGTCATACGCTCTGTTCAAACTGTAAAGCTAGGGTGCACAATCAGTGCCCGACTTGTAGACAAGAACTTGGTGATATTAGGTGTCTGGCTTTGGAGAAAGTAGCCGAATCACTTGAATTTCCATGCAAATACATGCCATTAGGGTGCTCAGAGATCTTCCATTATTACAGCAAACTCAAACACGAGGCTTTGTGTAGCTTCAGGCCTTACAGTTGTCCGTATGCAGGATCAGAGTGTTCTGCCACAGGTGATATCCCTTACCTCGTTTCTCACCTTAGAGATGAACACAAAGTGGATATGCATTCCGGGTGCTCGTTCAACCATCGTTATGTAAAACCAAATCCCCGTGAAGTGGAGAATGCTACATGGATGCTAACTGTAAGTTTGTACACTGGCTTTTAGACGCTATTGCTGCATCAACCACTTGGGAAATGGTTTAAAAAGCCTGGACTTTTATGAGCTGACCATTTGAACTGGAAAAATACTTCAACCTGGGCCACAAATGACGGTTAAATCCTCTTTGTTACAGAATGTCGGGATCTTCTTGTCATTGCTGGACGTTTACATCAATCTGACCTGATTGCTTAATCACGCTATTTTACTGGGTATCAGGTCTTTAACTGTTTTGGTCACTACTTCTGCCTGCATTTCGAGGCCTTCCAGCTCGGGATGGCGCCAGTTTATATGGCGTTTCTTCGGTTCATGGGCGACGAGACAGAGGCCCGAAGCTACAGCTACAGCCTGGAGGTCGGAGGATATGGACGGAAACTCACATGGGAAGGGACGCCGAGAAGTATAAGAGACAGCTATAAGAAAGTGAGAGATAGCCATGACGGCCTCATCATATACAGGAACATGGCTCTCTTCTTCTCAGGCGGAGATCGGAAAGAGCTGAAGCTACGTGTAACTGGTCGGATATGGAAAGAACAGCAGAACCCGGAATCCGGAAACTGCATTTCCCATAACCTCTCTGCTTCATAATCCGTGGGTCTGTTTGATGAATTTTAAAGCATATGGGTACGGGTACCCCCTTTTTCTTGGTCTGAAGCTGTAAATATGGAATAATTTGACAGTTTTCTGAAATTCCAGGCACTGTGAGAACATGATTTATCAAATGAAAACGAACAAAACACTTCAGCGAAGAGAGATAGGGAAGAATGTGCAAAAAGCCTCGGGGGTTTAATAAAGCAAGTCCCCTCTGAAGATTATCGAGCATGTTTTTTTTTTCTTTCGAAAAAGCAAATTCAGCGCAACTAGTGCGCGTGGGGATATCCGTAGCGAGCGCGTGACAACATCACATGGGCCAATAATATCGTTCAGGCTCATTTATTTATTTTAATGGGTTGGCCTCTTTTAATTTCCTTTCAGCCGATATTAAACTGCGTGTCGTTTTGTCTCAGTCAGTTAACTCCAAACTGTCGTTTTTTGGACGGCGAAAGGAACACAACCACCACCAGAGGGTATGAATACTTCTCCGTGGAGACACGTGTTGAATATATTCTCCACTTCAAAATGAACAAACACACATTGAGAACTGCGGCTCTTTTAAGGACCTGATTCAAATCTTTACACAACCAAAACTAAAAGCCAACAAGTTCAAAAACACAAAGACAACTTCCAGTCAGCCTCGTCCAAGGAGTTTACGCGCCGCTATTTGAGAAAGATGAAAATCCATGAGGAAAGAAAGATTCTGGAAGAACTCATCTTCGGCCTCTTCCTGTTGGGTAAGACATTCAGCTTCAAGAACCATCTCAGCCAGAGAATCCTCTTCAGAGGATGGGTCAGGATTCATCATCAAGTTTCCGATTTCGAAAGCCGTGAGCCCCTTTTCCACTCCTTTCTTCAGAAGCATTGTGCAGATCCTGAACGTCTTCGCGAATTCCTGTCCCATATCCCATCCGTAAGACTTGAGGTAATCGATATCTTGGTCGGCGTCCAGATTTTTCACGTACTCCTCAATCTCTGATGCGTATGGCTCCTTAGCTTGCGGCCAGTATGTCCAATCGAAAAGGCATTCTTCGGACGCCTGAGAGAACAATAACAGCAAAAGATAAGAAGAAAAAAAAATCATCTAAATGGTTCTCATCATGAATGGTCATCGGGGCTCTATGGAAACCTTTCATGGAATGCTTACAGAATCGGTGAAGCAAACCTCGTGATCGATTGGAATGAGATGGACCTCACCGTTCATCTTTTGCCTCGCTAGCATGTTACCCTCATGTCTATCTAAGTTTGCAAATCTTATGTCAAGCAACGAAATCCTGTGAACCTCATCGGTCGAGAGGGAAGAAGAATTCATCTCGTGACTTCCGCAAGCATTCTCGATGAACATCTGCAACGACCCTCTTTTCCACACCATGGCTCCATCGGAATTGAACCCATCGTGGAAGCATTCGACCATAGCAGTTGGAGGAACTCCAGCGAATCCAATCAAGTCGGAACAAACAGAGCGATGGCCGCTTCTCGGATGATCCAATAGGTAAGCTGCGACTTCCCTCATCGCTCCTGCTTCAGGCGGAATTCCGCTTCCAGAAGGCATTGCAATTTTCTCAAAAGGGTTGTTCGGAGCGCACGATTCTTCATCGGTTGGTTTGAAAACAGACACAAATCTCTCACCAGACGAATCTGGCATGAAATAGACACCAGCTGAACAGTTTTCAGCCCTCGTTGGGCGGTTTCTGCTCGTCAATCCGTCACGTGTCGACATTATCATATCCTCAATCTCTAAAGCTAATCCAAAAGTGGGTCGAAAGATAATTGGCTCCAACCTTACGTTACAAACAGCGTTTGGAGCAACAGCAGACCATTCAAGTACACTGTTCACAGCTTCGGAATGTATACTCACCTGTTTCTTGATCAACAAGTGTAACACAGCACTGTGATGGACACAGGCTTCTCCGATACTACGCTTTCGTGGATCATCGATCCTCTCCTCGTCGAGAACTTGTATGTCTTCAAGATCGTCAAATGTAGGTCTCTGTTTCTTTACGACCGAAGCGTCCCTTTCTTGTTCGATATCGAATCTGAAATCTTTACCGGTCTTGGTCCGGACATCGATGTGCAGAAGATCGGCGAATCTGAGAGCGAAACGCGTGGCATTTCCGTCGTCTACATCGTATGTCTGAATTAGGAAATCGTCTCGTGCCGATTCCGGAATCTTCAACTTTAGGGATTCTATAAAGCACGATTCCAGGACTCGTGTCGGAGTTTCCTGTTCATCAGAGGACACGTAAGTGAGCATCCATTCACCCGGAAATTCAAGAAAACCTAAGTCGATGTCGGCCAGGAAAACCAGGGAATAGAGTCGAGCAAGTTTCAGCATCTCTCCAAACCAAAAAAAAAAAAACTTTCAGAGAAACAGCGGAATTGAGATTTCTTGTGGCGGAAGCAACAATTCCATGACCTGTTCCGCAGATGTCGAACGAGAACCTATACAAACAAGCGAGACGAAGAGAGAATTCTTCAAGAAGGAAGCGCGGAGCAAAGAGAAATGAGGGAACTGTGGGCTCTCACTGCGAATTCAGTTAAGAACAAAGAACCCTAAAGATTTCATATATATATATATATACACACACCCCCCCTAGCAAAAAAAGATTTTGGATGCAAATGAAAGAATATTCCCTTTTTTTGGGGGTTACACACATCCGCACTGAAACGTCAAATGACCAATTTGCAGAGGCTAAATGATCGAAAAGGAGGAGGCTTTTGCCTCGAGACTTGCATGTCAAGAAACGTATATAATTTCCAAGAAAACGATATCTCAAATCACTGAAAGACACATACGTATCTTTTTCCAAGTAAACTCCCAGGAAAAGGTTCTGCAGAACATCAGCAAAGCGTCTGTTTGCACTCCTTTTTCTTCGGACTGTAAATCTGATTCTTCCTCCGTCAAAAGACAATATATAGAACATTGTTATGTTGCAAATCTTTAGTGGTTAAGCTGAAAGGAAGAATCTTTCATTGGACCTTACATCAATGAAGAATCATATTCTTCGGTAAGGAATGGTTCTCTTCCACATAAGCTTGCCATTCCTCTCTCCATCCCCATTTGAATCAGCTTCAAACCTAAACCCTAAACCCTAAAACGTCGGCACGGTTCAACATTTGCATCTTCTGCTACTCTGCCCACAATATCATCAGTAGCAAGAGTCACTAAGAAAAAAGAGCCTCTTTCAGCTGTCTGTCAATACCCAAAACACCTTATTAGAAAAAAAGGGAATCTAAGCATAGCAAAAGGAAGAGGAAATTCAACAGACGAACTGATATTAATAAGAAGAATGAAACACCAATCATGCATCTTCGTCAACATCAGAACAGATCAAACATATGAAAGGACATAAATCTCAAGCAAGAGAACGAGACAGGGCTCTAACCCTGCCAAAATGCAGATTCCTTCTTCTTATTCTTCTTCTCATGTCCATATAATGGGAAAGCTGAAACTCTTCCTACATTCAGAACGCAAAAACATGAAGAGGGTTATATATTGATCACTGTTTCTCACAAAGATGGAAATTAAAAAGACACAGAAGCTGGAGAAATCACTGTCAAAATGGGAAATTTTCAAATTCCGTACCTCGTGTGTGTATCTGCCCATCTCTGAAATAGCTCGTATTAGGAAGAGGCAACGAAATCCTGTGAACCTCATCGGTCGAGAGGGAAGAAGAATTCATCTCGTGACTTCCGCAAGCATTCTCGATGAACATCTGCAACGACCCTCTTTTCCACACCATGGCTCCATCGGAATTGAACCCCT